TGTCGCTTTTTTATCGAATTGTTCTGTGGATGTTTATGTCCTCTTCCATTTTGATAATTGTTTGGTCCCTTTTTTAATCACCTTTTTTTCATCATCTGTGTGGACTTTTTTTAGGTTTTTTCGCCCTTTTTTAGCCTGCTTTTCTTCGTCTTTTTTTCTCGCCTCGTTTTGATCTTTTTTTAGATAGTTTTTTGCTGTGAGTTTTTGTCACCTCTTATCACTTTTTTTATCGTATTTTTTGTTCTCCTCTTATGTATTTTGACATCTTTCTTGTGTTGTTATTTAATTGTTTTTTTTGTCGCTCCTTTTAATTCTTTTTTGGGTTTTTTCTCGCCTTTTTTATGGTTATTTTTTCATTTTTTTCTCCTTTATTCAGCCATTTTCGTCGTCTTCTTTAGCTTAACTGATGACTTTTTTTGCCTTAATTTTCCTCCTTTTGTATTAAATTTTTCTCGCTTTTATCTGTTTTTTGTCGCTTTCTTCAAGACATTTTTTATGGCCATTTTTATCATCAATCTTTTAGTGTCTCCTTTTGTCATATTTTAGTCACTTTGTGTCGCGTTATTTTGCTGCTTGCTTTTTTTTCGTTTTTTGTATTTTTTTGTCGCCTCTTTTTTGAACACTTTTCCCCCCTTTTTCATCATCTTCTTTAACTTTTTTTTCACCTTATTTTATGACCTTTTTATGTCACGTTTTTTCTTGCAGACTTTTGTCTAATTTTTCTGAAACCCTTCTTTGTCGCTTTTTCTGTATTTTTGTCACTTTTGTTTTGTCATTGTTTTTTTTTCACATTTTTAACGCCTTCTTTGTCATCCTTTTTTTTGTGAAGTATTTATCCAATTTTTATTGCGTTTTTGGTCGTCACTTTTTAATACGGAAAATCTAAATATGTAAAAATATACTCTATCATCTACTAGTACTACTTCAAAAACCAGACAAAAAGGATCAATGAGATTCTCTTCAACTACTTCAAAAACCAGGCGCAAGGAGTCCTCGAGATTCTTTCAAACTACTTTAAAAACCAGACACAAGGTGTTCCCGAGATTCTCTCCAATTACTTCAATAACAAGCTAAATGTGGTCCCTGAGATACTTTTAAACTACTTCAAAAACCAGACACAAGAAGTCCCAGAGATTTTTTCAAACTACTTCAAAAACTTGACACAAGGAGTCTTTTTTATCGTTTTTTTAATGGTTATTTCATAGCCTCATTTCTGTCATTTTTTCGCCTTTATTCTGCCATTTTCATCGTTTTCTTTCGCTTACCTGATGACCTTTTTTGCCTTAATTTTCCTCCTTTTGTATTAAATTTTTCTCGCTTTATCTGTTTTTTTTTGTCGCTTTTTTCATGACATTTTTTATGGTCATTTTTATCCTCAATCTTTTAGTGTTTTCTTTTGTCATGTTTTAGTCACTTTTTTGTTGCGTTATTTTGCTGCTTTTTTTCGTTTTTTGTCCTCTTTTTGTCGCCTCTTTTTTGAACACTTTTCCCCCCTTTTTCATCATCTTCTTAAACTTTTTTTTCACCTTATTTTATGATTTTTTTATGTCAGGTTTTTTCTTGCAGACTTTTGTCTAATTTTTCTGAAACCCTTCTCTGTCGCTTTTTCTGTATTTTTGTCACTTTTGTTTTGTTATTTTTCACATTTTTGACGCCTTCTTTGTCATCCTTTTTTTTTGTGAAGTATTTATCCAATTTTTATTGCCTTTTTGGTCGTCACTTTTTAATACGGAAAATCTAAATATGTAAAAATATACTCTATCATCTACTAGTACTACTTCAAAAACCAGACAAAAAGGATCAATGAGATTCTCTTCAACTACTTCTAAAACCAGGCGCAAGGAGTCCTCGAGATTCTTTCAAACTACTTTAAAAACCAGACACAATGTGTTCCCGAGATTCTTTCCAATTACTTCAATAACAAGTTAAATGTGGTCCCTGAGATACTTTTAAACTACTTCAAAAACCAGACACAAGAAGTCCCAGAGATTTTTTCAAACTACTTCAAAAACTTGACACAAGAAGTCCTTTTTTATCGTTTTTTTTATGGTTATTTCATAGCCTCATTTCTGTCATTTTTTCGCCTTTACTCTGCCATTTTCATCGTTTTCTTTCGCTTACCTGATGACCTTTTTTGCCTTAATTTTCCTCCTTTTGTATTAAATTTTTCTCGCTTTATCTGTTTTTTTTTGTCGCTTTTTTCATGACATTTTTTATGGCCATTTTTATCCTCAATCTTTTAGTGTTTTCTTTTGTCATGTTTTAGTCACTTTTTTGTCGCGTTATTTTGCTGCTTTTTTTCGTTTTTTGTCCTCTTTTTGTCGCCTCTTTTTTGAACACTTGTTCCCCCTTTTTCATCATCTTCTTTTTTTTTCACCTTATTTTATGACCTTTTTATGTCACGTTTTTTCTTGCAGACTTTTGTCTAATTTTTCTGAAACCCTTCTTTGTCGCTTTTTCTGTATTTTTGTCACTTTTGTTTTGTCATTGTTTTTTTTTTACATTTTTGACGCCTTCTTTGTCATCCTTTTTTTTGTGAAGTATTTATCCAATTTTTATTGCGTTTTTGGTCGTCACTTTTTAATACGGAAAATCTAAATATGTAAAAATATACTCTATCATCCACTAGTACTACTTCAAAAACCAGACAAAAAGGATCAATGAGATTCTCTTCAACTACTTCTAAAACCAGGCGCAAGGAGTCCTCGAGATTCTTTCAAACTACTTTAAAAACCAGACACAAGGTGTTCCCGAGATTCTTTCCAATTACTTCAGTAACTAATTAAATGTGGTCCCTGAGATACTTTTAAACTACTTCAAAAACCAGACACAAGAAGTCCCAGAGATTTTTTCAAACTACTTCAAAAACTTGACACAAGGACACAAGGAGTCCTTTTTTATCGTTTCTTTATGGTTATTTCATAGCCTCATTTCTGTCATTTTTTCGCCTTTATTCTGCCATTTTCATCGTTTTCTTTCGCTTAACTGATGACCTTTTTTGCCTTAATTTTCCTCCTTTTGTATTAAATTTTTCTCGCTTTTATCTGTTTTTTGTCGCTTTCTTCAAGACATTTTTTATGACCATTTTTATCATCAATCTTTTAGTGTCTCCTTTTGTCATATTTTAGTCACTTTGTGTCGCGTTATTTTGCTGCTTGCTTTTTTTTCGTTTTTTGTATTTTTTTTGTCGCCTCTTTTTTGAACACTTTTCCCCCCTTTTTCATCATCTTCTTTAACTTTTTTTTCACCTTATTTTATGACCTTTTTATGTCACGTTTTTTCTTGCAGACTTTTGTCTAATTTTTCTGAAACCCTTCTTTGTCGCTTTTTCTGTATTTTTGTCACTTTTGTTTTGTCATTGTTTTTTTTTTCACATTTTTGACGCCTTCTTTGTCATCCTTTTTTTTGTGAAGTATTTATCCAATTTTTATTGCGTTTTTGGTCGTCACTTTGTAATACGGAAAATCTAAATATGTAAAAATATACGCTATCATCTACTAGTAATACTTCAAAAACCAGACAAAAAGGATCAATGAGATTCTCTTCAACTACTTCAAAAACCAGGCGCAAGGAGTCCTCGAGATTCTTTCAAACTACTTTAAAAACCAGACACAAGGTGTTCCCGAGATTCTTTCCAATTACTTCAGTAACAAGTTAAATGTGTTCCCTGAGATACTTTTAAACTACTTCAAAAACCAGACACAAGAAGTCCCAAAGATTCTTTCAAACTACTTCAAAAACCAAACACAAGGTATTCTTTCAAACTTCTTCAAAAACCAGACACAAAAGCCGCTCTAATTTTTTTTCATGCTGATTCAGCAGTCCCATCCGTCCCTGGTTACAACTAGTTATTATTAAAAATATAATTTTTTTGATTCAAGTCACCAATGTCTTGTTATCAGTGGAAACTTAATACCCCTTACGAAAACACAAAAGTATACGTACTTTGGACGTTTCTACCTATAAATACGGCTATTACAAACCGTAAAAGATAAGACGTCACAAAACCGTATAAAACCATATCAGACATTGGTATTTTTCGCGCTAGAATTTGCGTGTTTACTATTATTGTTTACTACACTATTTTTGTTATCGAAAATTAGCCTAATCTTGATACAAAACTAGATCGACAAATACGTTTTTTAGATAATATCAATCGTAAAAACAGAGTAGAACCTTTAAATTAAGGACAATGATTCAAAGTGTCCTTAATTAAAACCTCAACTCTCTTAATAATTCTTCAGAATTCACTGTTTTACTCCAACTCTACAAGTAATGACATGTTTTTTTTTTATAAAAAAAAAATCGTAGGCGTTTATTACCTCGTGGACGATTTAAATTCCACTGATAACAAAACGTTAAAATTAAAAAAAACCCGATGTGTCGCTATATTTATCCAACGAAAATAAAACTTTAGAACATTTGAAGTCCTCGCAACCGAAAAATAGAACTCCGTTTCTACTGACCAAAGGCACTAAATACCAGCCAAATAATAAAAAAACTGAAAAGAAGGTCACTCGTTGGCAGTTTAGGAGCGTTTATTTGCCAGAAGTTCTACTTGACTAACTTAGTAACAATGTTTACTGCTTCCTGCCTTTCAGATTTGTAAATAAACCCAGCTCTCTCGACTTTATTGAAATGTAAACATGATACTTACAAGAAAAAACATTTATACAAAAAATAATGCACAACTCGTGTCCAAGTTGTAGCAATCGAGCCACCACTGGATCAATGTGCCGCTCCCGTCACACACCACAATCACAGTTCCGTTTCGACGAGGCGGCAAAGTCACCGCTCACTTTGATACGACAAATCTCAATACGGGGTTGCTCGCATCCGAAAATACTCTGGCAGCCGCCACCCAAAACTTATTTTTATTCCGCGCAAACGCTACATTTTCCAGTTGTTTTGGCATCCCATGACCTACCCCAACCGCGGTCCTACCTTGGCACGCGAAACCTTCACCTCTCATCTCGCAACCAGTCGAAAATGAAGCTCACCTGTTAATATTGGCCGTCCTCGACGACGTCTGACTCGCAATAGTGATATGAACGTAAACTTTGGAATTGTTTTCGGCCAACCTGGCCAAGTCTTCTCCCTTCCACTTGTAGGTGAACACCGCACTGATGTTGCCTGAAAAAGAGAGCAACCGTGAGACATCGCGTGATTGAAGCTTTCGAAGCAATCGATGCGAAAGGTCATGCGACGGTACGAATTCATGTAAACACATTAAAAACGTCGATAATGATGCTAACGCTATTCGCACCTCGAGAATAAACACGAATTAGAATAATTAAGACGAGACCACTTTTTATAAGTTGACGTCAATACGCGACAGGTTTCATTAAACACGCATTATTCGGTTTAATGAAATTTCGCGGATTTGAAATTGGCGCCGGTGGACGGATTGTTCGCGCGCAAATCGCTCAGCGGCCAATCGCAAGCGCGACGCGGCACCACGTGACCACGCCTTTCAAAAATCCAGGTTCGGCCTTCTTCGCGTAAACTGTGACCGAATTGTTTGTGTACGACAGTGTAAATGTTTGTTTATTCGGCGCGGTTTCTCTCAATCCGCGACATAATTCGCGGTAATTAAGAGAAACGAATGTGTCATTGGAGTGTTGAAATTCTGACCTTTAATCACTTAATGAAAAATTTGTTTTTATCCTTTGTGGAGGACGAAGTCGCTGCCAAATTCGCGCTACTACTTCCGGATTAAGTTAGACGGAAGGTCGGTTATCGGTTTCGAGAAGACACATTTGGAGAAATAATGATAATTATTATCACTTTCCAGCGAATTTGTTAAAACTATAAACTTCAATTTTTTTACATTTCATGGATCAAAGAGTGCATTGATGGAATTACATGGCGTAGAAAAACACCAGATTAAGTGAGATTGTTTCACAGCTGCACTTTTATCGCAATATTAACAATAAAGAAACGTCAATATAATACGTTAAAGACGTAAAGTCGCTCTTATCAGCAAATACGGCTTATTCGGATTTAAATCCACTTATCCGGAAATCGTTAATCATAACAAAAAAATGCACCACTTGACCTATAGACGGGTCTACATCAACGCAACCCATGTAAATACAGTGTGGTGAAAAAGAAACGGCACTGGACGATATTGTTACCATTTGGAGTGACATATCGAGTCCTGGAATCACGTTTTCATTAATAAATGAAACGTTATCAAACCATCTACCAACTCCACTTACGAACCCTCTCAAAACACCTGAGATACAAGTCCGATACAGTCACCTACATAAAATACACACGATTCACGATATTATTTTTAAAAGCCACGAATTAAATTCCTGGGGAGATTAGCGCTCATTAGGTGTCGTAAATGCCACCATTTTCGATAAAACATACTACGGTTGTTAAAATTCCTGTGTAAAGTTGGTCGAAGGTTAAGTGCAACCCGATAAAGCCCGCTGATTTGAAAAAAATATTTTTTTGCGATTGCTGACAATGTCCATAAAGTAAAAACTGAAGAATCTTTCAATTTTTCTTTATTTTTTGATGCAGTTGTTCCACTTGCAGTTCTTCGAGTTTTCAAGTTTATTTTTTTCAGTTTTTCAATTTTCCAACTTGAATTTTTCAATGTATAGAATTTGCAATTTTTCGATTTGAGTTTCTCGAGTTTTTAATTTTTTTTTTATTTTCACTTTCAATTATTCGATTTTTTAACGTGCCGATTTTATAATTTTTTGTTTTCCAATTTTTCGTTTCTTCAGTTTTTCGATTTTGCAATTTTTCGATTTAAAATTCCTCGAGTTCTCAATTTTTTGATACTTTAATTTTTCATTTCACTCAGAACACCATAATCCTCAATTACTCAAAGCAAAATCCTCAAATACTTAGAACCTCATAATCCTCAAATCCCTAGAAAACACGAATTTCCTCAAATCCTCAAAACACTACAATCCGCAAATCCACAGAAAACCACAATCCTCGAATCCTCAGAACACCATAATCCCCAAGTCTTCAGAACACCATCATCTTCAAATCCTCAGAACATCATTAGCCTCAAATCCTCAGAACACCACAATCCTCAAATCCAAGGGAAACCACAATCCTCAAATCCTCAGAACACCCTAATCCTGAAATCCTCAGAATACCATAATCCTCAAATCCTCAGATTCTCAGAATCCCATAATTTTCAAATCCTCAGAACACCACAATCCTCAAAATCCTCAAAACATTACAATCCTCAAATCCACAGAAAACCACAATCCTCAAATCCTGAGAACACCCTAATCCTGAAATCCTCAGAATACCGTAATCCTCAGATCCTCAGATTTCCATAATTCTCAAATCCTCGGAAAACCACAATCCTCAAATTCTCAGAGCACCACAATCCTCAAATCCTCAGAACACCATACTCCTCAAATAAGCGGGCTGCTTATTTGAAAAAATTATAACTTTTTTGCGAGTGTTTTCTGATAATAATCTCTATAAAGTAAAAACTGAACAACTTTTCTTTATTTTGTGTTTTTTCATTTGCAGTTCCTCGAGTTTAAATTTTTGAGTTTTTTCATTTTCCAACTTTTGTTTTTGCAATTTTTCGTTTTGAATTCCTGGAGTTTTTAATTTTTTAATTTTTCGATTTGCAGTTTTTCGTTTCGGTTTTTTATTTTCATTTTTAATTATTTGATTTTTTAACGTGTTGATTTTATAATTTTGTGTTTTTTCAATTTTAACCTTTTCTATTTTTCATTTCTTCAGTTTTTCGATTTTGCAATTTTTCAGTTTAAAATTCCTGAAGTTTTCAGTTTTTAATTTCTCAATTATTCGACTCTTTAATTTTTCATTTCACTCAGAACACCATAATCCTCAAATCCTCTGAACAGTATAATCCTCAATTCCTCAGAACAAAATTCTCAAATCTTCAGAACACCATAATTCTAAAATCCTCAGAACACCATAATCTTCAGATTATCACAACACCATAATCCTCAAATCCTTAGAACTCCACAATCCTCAAACATTCAAAACACCACAATACTCAAATCCTCAAAGCACTGCAATCCTCAAATCCACAAAAAAACACAATCCTCAAATTCTCAGAACACTATAATCCTCAAATCCTCAGAACACCACAATCCTCAAATGCTTAGAACACCATAATTCTCAACTGGTCAGAACACCATAATTTTCAAATCCTCAGAACATCACAATCCTCAATTACTCAAAACACCATAATCCACAAATCCTTAGAACACCATAATTTTCAAATCATTAGAACACTACAATCCTCAAATCCTCATAAAGTAAAAAATTGAGTTAATTTTTGGTTTTTCAGTTTTTTCATTTTCCAACTTTTTAATTTTTCAATGTTTAAAATTTGCAATTTTTCGTTTTGAATTTCCCCAGATTTTAATCGTTAAGTTTTGAGTTTTTCGTTTCGGTTTTTTAAATTTTAATTTTTTCGACTTTTCGATTCTTCAATTTTTCGATTTAAAATTCCCCGAGTTTTTCAATTTTTAATTTCTCAATTTTTGAATTTATCATTTCACTCAGAACATCATAATCCTCAATTCCTCTGAACAAAATCCTCAAAACCTCAGAACACCACAAGCCTCAAATCCACAGGAAACTACAATCCTCAAATCCTCGGAACATCATAATCCTTAAATCCTCAGAACATCATAATTCTCAAATACTCAGAACATCATAATCCTCAAATCCACAGGAAACCACAATCCTCAAATCCTCAGAACACCACAATCCTCAAATCCACAGGGAACCACAATCCTCAAATCCTCAGAATACCACAATCTTCAAATCCATAGAAAACCATATTCCTCAAAACCTCAGAACACCACAATCTTCAAATCCACAGGAAACCACAATCCTCAAATCCTCGGAACACCATAATCTTCAAATCCTCAGATCATAATCCCCAAATCCTCAGACCATCATAATCCTCAAATCCCTAGAACACCACAATCCTCAAACACTCAGAACATCTTAATCCTCAAATGCTCGGAATACCATAATCCTTAAATCCTCAGAACACCACAATCCTCAAATTCCCAGGACACCATAATCCACAAATCTTCAGAACACCGTAATTTTCAAATCCTCACAGCACCATAATCCTCAAATCCTCAGAAGACCAAAACTCTCAAATTCTGAGAACACCACAATCCTCAGAACACGAAAATCTTCAAATCCTCAGAACACTCAACTGCTCTCAACTGCTCAGAACACCATTATCCTCAAATGCTCAGAACACCAGAAGCCTCAAGTCCTCGGAACACCATACTTCAAATTTCGATTTACAATTTTTCGTTCGGGATTTTTTTTATTTTAACAATTTTTCAACGCTTCAATGCTTCGATTTTATAATTTTTTTTTCCATTTTAAGTTTATTCAATTTTTCGATTTTTCATTTTTTTGTTTCTTCAGTTTTACGATATGCGCATCTCCTCAAATTTTCATTTTTAAATTCTTCAGTTTTTCGATTTTCTAACTTTTGGTTGTCTTTTCCTATTTTTCGATTTGCAATTTCACGAGTTTCCAATTTTTAAATTTTCACTTTTTACATTTTTCAATTTTTCGTTTCTTCAGTTTTTTGATTTGCGATTTTTTGTTCCCGTTTTCTATTTTTTTTTTAATTTTTCAATTTTTCAATGTTCTGATTTTCTAATTTTTGTTCTTTCAATGTGAAATTTTCCAGTTTTTGGAAGTTAGATTTGTAATTTCTTGGCTTTCAATTTTTCGACTTTCAAGATTTTTAATTTTTCGATTTTTCATTTGTAGATTTTTTGGTTTCTTGATTTTTGCTGTGCAATTTTTCTAGATTTCATTTTAAATATATCTAATAAGTAACAGTTAAGTATAATTTTAATAATTTTTCACTTCTTCAATTTCAAGATTTCTTTTCTCCATTTTTCCATTACTAGATTTTAAAACTTTTTCATCTATTCTATTTTTCAATTTTTAATTTTTCCAATTTTCGATCTTCAATTTTCCACTTTTTCGACTTTTTACACTTTTGACGATTCCATAATTTTTCGATTTTATAATTTTTTAGTTTTAAAAATTTTCGATTCAGTTCATTTTTTCTTCTTTCCAATTTTTGGATTCATTATTTTTTTCATTTTTTTAAGTTCCTCCAG